GTAATTGCCACGGTTGGGTGGAGCGTGCGCTAATGTGGGCGGAGTTTGCGCCGAAATTGTAATTCGGCTCCAAGAAGTCCCGGAGGCAGGGAAAAAGGTGGATGGAGGTGGGTGGAGGAGTGGAGGCCAGCTGTCATCGGTGGGCGGGGCTTGACCAAAGTGGGCGGAGTTTGCGACGAAAATTCATAACTCGGCTCCAAGAAGTCCTAGAGATAGGGAAAACGGGGTTAGAGGTTGGCGAGGGAAAAGAGATCAGCTGCTTCCAAGAGGTCCCAGAGACCGGTGAAAAAAGGGGTAGAGGTCGGCGAAAGGAAGGGGGCCAAATGCTATTGGTGGGCGGGGCACGCACCGAAGTAGGCGGAGTTTGCCACGAGATTTATTGTCCGGAAGCAGTCCGGAGACCGAGAAAAAGAGGATAATGGTTGACGAAGAAAAAGAGGTTGAAAGCCGTCGATGATGGAGCGGATAGAATTTAGCTGAGAATTCAGATATTCGTGGTGTATCAAGCCAAATTTGAAAATTTTCGTCGCACCATCAAAATTCGCCGCAGATCTGTGTTGTGCGCGCAATGCGTGCGGCGCCAACTGGTTATAAAATGGTAGATATACACTTCGGTCGTGCCAGCACCGGCAACGATGCTAGCAGTTCCCATATTGAATCAGTTTTACTCAATATTATATTCAGCAGTAGAAAATGTATAAACTTATTGAGTTATGCAACCAAATCTAAGGTCCCAACCTCTGTTTGGTCCAGTCAAGTGCAAGTAATTGAGGTGTGCGATATCGGCGCCATTTTCGGGAATCTCCTGACAATGGCACATAATTTCGTGTTCGGTGCGTCCACCGTACGTCCACTCCCCACTGGTTATCTCATCGATTTCCGGTATTTCCCACTCAGGCTCACTTCCGTCGCAATGATACCTGAGACCTGGGTAGCATTACAGTTAGAAGCTCGATGGAAGATGGACACAACAGCTCTCACCATACATAGATGTGCTGATTTCTTTCTAAGACTGGCCAGACAGCTACCTGAAAATTTCACTCTGATTCATTCAATTCACAAAAAAAATAAACGAGCCATCAGCAAGAGATGCGCGCACAAGCAGTGCGGCCGTAGTGAGATGCACCGCAGCGCGTCGCGCTGCGGCCGCGCGCCTCTTCTGCTGGCTATTGCATACATACCGAGTAACAATAAAAAAAATCCTAGAACCTCAAAAATAATCGACGCACTTTAGCTTGTTCAGGAATCGTCCCGTTATCGTACGGTATTCGTGTACATTTGCCTGTTTCTCCGGAGAACACCCATCCGTGAAAAGGACATTGCACACAGTTGTCGTCAACCACCTAGATAATTACCGTTTTTGAGTGCATCCATTTTCAATCCAGAAAAGAAGATTTTATTGGAAGTTCTGGCTACCCACCTTTCCGCCCACGTTAAAATTAGCGCCTAAATGCGGACAATACGAATCGATTAGGTGCACTTGGCCACTCTCGGATCTTATGAGCGTCAAAAATTGACCTGAAAAGTTTTTAGATCAGAGCAAATAACGAGACAACAGGTCAGAAAGATCCAATCCTAGACAAGCCACTGTCCGTAGAAGAACTCTGTTTGAATTTCACCGTACCGCGATTCGTGGGGGGTTGCTGTGGCAAATCGTGAGTAAACACTGACTGGAGCTGCCAGCGGAGAGGCCTCAGAACAATGGAAGGGTTAATACCTTGAAAAGATCTCCCATCTACTATAATTTAGGCGACTAAGGGGCAGTGAATAAACTATAGTATTGAACATAGCAGTTTTATAAGAGTTCGTTGCAGTAAGTAAGAGCAAAACAAAGCGCTAATGTAACGACTTCACTGCACCACATGTATTACCAACTAATATGGCTTTTTAGTGATGTGATTGTTTTGAAGTGTTTAACTTCACCATGGCTACCTCAAATTTGAAACAATTCTCAGATTCATACATCTGCTGAAACTATAGGTACTAATAAGGAACCATGGATTTTGAGTGGAGATTTCTGTTCTAAGTCACTTTTGTGTTCTTACGACCACATTAAAGCAACAATCCAGGAACGAATTCGCGGGTAAGGACCACCTATAATGACGTTGCAGGTGAGAAAGTTGGTCAATGGAGAAAGAAAAAGTAGAAAAAAACGTCGGGCAGGGGCTTAGACAGGGACTCCCCCTCTGCCGTTAGCAATGGAGGAAGACGCTGTGTTGGACGAGTTGTCTGAACATGCCCGCAGTAAATGCGCCCAATTGCAATTGCTGGCAATTGCCAGCAATTGCAATAATAATGAAATCGTTTTATGTTTTGAAGGTAGAAGGTAGAAGGAAAAAACGTAGAAATCCAGCGTAGTCGGCATCACCACATCGATTGCTTTGAAGGATCGACCTCAAATAGTCCCGGTGGTCCCGAAACGACCGCAAATGTCTGCGCAGCCAATCACGCACTCTTCACGACAGAAGTGGGCGGCCGTACCGAGGCTCGGTGGATCCGCCCACTTCGACGGCGTTAGACCCCCTTCCAACGCCTTTCAAAGGTAAGTTTTCAAATCAGTGACATTTCCTATGTACTTGACTAGGGCTGGTGCATGTTTCCACCCCTTGAGGATCGAATGGTTGAAACCCTGCTTGGACTGTTGCTTTAACCGAGATGTGCTCTTCAGTTGTTATGATCCCTCAGTTTCGCCTTCTAGCACTCGCTGGTGTCCTTTACCACAGCCATGATAAAGAGCTTCACCGGTGAAAATAGCTTCGCCGGTTCATAACATTTGAAAAATTGGCTGTTCTAAGATGCTTCCGCACGAAAGCTTGTTATCTACTTCAAACACTTCTGTCAGACGGTAGGCTCTCCTACTGCGCTCCCATGGAAGAAACAGAATGTTCAATCCCTACGAGACTACTGTGCGTACCGTTATAGACTATTTACTACCCCTTTTTGCCTGCTTCCACAGCTGGTGGCTAAAGGCAATTCCTTTCAATTTCTGTGGCATCTTGTCCCGGTGGGTACCCTCCACCGATCGCAGCATATGCCGGTGTAGTCCCACCGCGAACAGGGGTACGGTAGGACTGAAACCGGGTCGAGCAGGGGTACGGTAGGACTGAAACCGGGTCCTCCTACGCATAGTGGCTTATAAATCCGAGTTGATAGCCCTGTTGCAAGCATCACTTCTATTTCCAAAGCAATTTATAGCTTACTCTTTCCAACAGCAGTGAAAAAAGACTCAACAACCTACGAGCCTGATTCGACGATCAAACGATCGATTTATCGATTGAGTGTTTTCATTGAGAATGTTTCACCTTCACATAACATCTGCCCCTCAAACTCTCGTCAAGCTGCGTCTTTTTTGCGAGAAATTAGCCAGTCGACAATTTTGGTTTTGGCTTTTCCTTGGGTTAGGCTAAAACACACTTACCAAATACCGTAATTTCCTTAACGGCTTTTGGTTTCAGCTCATCTGACTCGGCAATACAATACCACCCGTTAGGATAGACCGGTGGCAGTTCGCCAATACGTCGAAGTTTAGCGAGTCGAGTGATTTGACGTTCGCGATACACTCCTTTCAACTAGAAAGCCAATTATAATGAGTTAGAGATGGGGATTAACGAAAAAAGCGATAAAATAAAGAAACATAGAATATCTAAGAACTGATTGAGTTCTATTCTTATTATTATTGATTGTTTTATTAATTTCCGCTTTCATTCACATTCCAAATTTGGAACAGTAGGTGTTGTGTGGCCTGAGACGGACAAATTCAATAAAAAATTGACAAAAGTACCCTCGATGAGGCCTTTTCTTGAGAGCAATATGCACGATGCGAATATGAAAAGCGTGTATAGATGAGAGACTCTGACAACGAGTAGACGAGAAGGAATAGGGACGCGACGGGCGCATGAAGGGGGGAGGCTGTCAGGGAAAGCGTAGCTGGCTGCTTCTGTGTGCAATAACATCGTCCCTTGAAGGGCGAAAGTGGTACAGCGGCAAGTGGCGCTGCTTACCATACATAGGCCCGAGGATCGAAAACCATCCTGCATCTCTCTAGAGTTGGTTAATTGGCACCAGAATTTCTGGGAGCATAAAAACACTGACTTTTACATTGGTTGGCTTCGCAAAACATTGTTTTTATAGGCTGGTTCACAATGCCTCAATAGATCTGAGTAGAAATAGAATGCGTGGCGCATCCCAAAAGAGAAGACGTCGAAATCTTTGCTCTTCTTTTTATTGCTCTTTTAAAGCAACAACCTCAGATGAGGTCGTGTCGAAGAACCGCTCTGTGGGTAGGATAGAGAAGCCCACAAGTAACACAGTTGTGCCGTTGTCGCGGCTCGAAAGCAGGGTCAACCGTCACGTTCGAACATTTTCGGGATTTTTGCGACCCCCCCCTCTCGAGAGGGTCCAGTTGCGACCCCTCCCAACACACAGTTGCGACCCCCCAATACAACCAGCCTTCCTCCACCGCGACCTCTCCCTCTTCTATAGTATTTGATTCTGAGACCAGTTGACACAGCCCAAAACCTACCTAAAACTCCGAAACTCCACCCACTTTTCCCCAAAAATAGCCGTCGAGCGGGGGGGGGTATATACCAGTGAAACGGCAACTTTTTTCGCACGCACCTATGCCCTGCTGATCACCAAAGCTCCCAATGCGACCCCTCTCCCCTCCCAGAAACACAAATGCGACCCCCCTCGTTCGAACAGTTCGAACGGACGGTTGACCCTGCTCGAAAGTGTGCAATAATGGCGTCGAGGACTTACAAGTAAGCTAATGGAGATATCTCGCGTACACGCCATGACACGCAACTAGTTTTACGAAAGTGGCTAATTCAAATACGCACGGGTGGGTGAAGCCATGGAGTAAGCAAGTTCAGACAGCTCGTCTGGATACGCCCCTGTCTCGTATTGATGGAGAATAGGGAGGATTTGATCAAGGGCTTCATCGTATTCGTACGAATTGTTGTTTTGCGCACCTGATGGCTTATCGCCGCTAAACGCAGTGCACAACGCTTACCGTCCGAGGACAATGACAAAGGAAACACCAAAAATAAAAGGTTTCTTGCCAAAATAAAAACAGGAGGTGAAGACTACGGAGCGTAGAACACTTAAAAAATTCAGAATGTAATGCAATTGAAGCTATCGATTGAACTGCGCCGACTGTGGGCCGTCTCAAAGACGCTCATCGCCAGCGTGTGTGTCTATGCTATTCGTAGAGTCCGCATTGTCTGCAATATCCGCAACGGCGCAAAGTATGGAAACAGTCCAGGTCGCCTCTTGCCGTAGTAATAAATATCGCCTTTGGCACGTGGATTTTATCACTAGTTGAACTAATATCCTCGCCTTTGTTGCGGAACATACCATTGAATAAGAAAATATTTAACGTAAATTGTAATGAATAAATAATATGAGAAAGTGTATTCGACTTGAAGTTTAAGCAGAATAAGGTAGGGAAGAGAGTTCTGCACAAAGCACTCACCTCAGGATCTCCAAGAAGGAGTCCCAAATCACCAAGTTTCCGAATACGATTACATGTCGTAGTGCACAATAAATAGCGTAAATAACGACGATTAGAGTAGCTACTGCTACTGAGATCAATATGACGGTCATCTGGAAAGAATTTGATTGAGTGGATCATGTAATCAAAGCACTGCCTGCGGTATCAAAATTTTGGGCATTTCGTTGGCAAAGTGAAACAAAGGTAAGAAGAGGACCTCCAGTCAAAAAATCAAAAGGAAGGCACACAAACTACTGGGACTCCTTGCTGTGGGGGGGGGGGGGGGGAGTTGACTGTCACACAATGGGAGGGATAGCGCTTCAGGCAAAAGGAGACGCGAGAGAGCACGTAGTATGAGAGGGCGCAGACATCGCATATGCAGCCAACGAGAAGAAATGGCAAAAAACATCACAAAGCATGGCCCCAGCGCCTTTGTCGCACACCTTTCGAGCCGTAACAGTGGCACGAAACCTGTGCTAGGGGACCGTGTTACCTCGCTCGCGGAGGGATATGGCTTCAGAATAATCACATAGACCGTGCCTAATCTTGGCAACAGTTCGCAGCATAGTCTCTGTTTTCCCGACATGACAACATTTTACTTGAAGTCGTTAACGATGGAGACTTAATAGAAAGTTTAAACAATGTACAAAGAAAATCAATGTAATTTGAGATTATGAATAAGTTTTTCATAGCTATAAAATGATCGAAGATAGCCAGAACTGTGTCGGGCATTGACCTGTGAGCCCAAAAATCTTGAGACCGATTCCCTTTGATCTGTACTATAGTCCCCAGTGGGCAATTACAGATTTGACACTCCCGTGCGTGAAAATCGCCTGATAAAGGTGATAAATGCTTGCAAAAACAGCCTCAACCGCTTCCATTTTCCCCGTCTGCAGCACGATATTGTCTGGCGCTCTTTCTGCGCTTCCCCACCTCATGTTCTCCTCTCCCCGCTCAGTCTCTGAGTCTCTTCTCTTTGATTAGAAGGCAGGCCATTAGATGAAGGTAGAGGTGGTCAGTGGTGCCGAGAAGAAGAAAAAACCATGAGAAGCGACTCAGAAGTCGAGAAATTGGACCTTTTCCTTGCTTGTTGATGCGACTCCCATCGCTGCTGCCTTCTTGAAGGCTAACGTTCTCTCTCCGAACGGCCAAAAGGCTCTCTTTCCGCCGTCTTTCCGTCTTTCCTTTTCTTCGACCTTTGACCTTATCATGGGATCCTCCTTTGAAGCAGCATCTCCAGCAGGGGGCGCGAGGAGGAATCTATTTATTGGGTGGGATAGAGTAGCCACGAGTATCACAGATGTGCCGTTGTCGCGGCTCGAAAGTGCGCGACAGTGGCGCTAGGGCCTTACAAAGTGATCTGATGGCGACTAATGTGAACTTGTGGACGAGAAACCTCGCGCACACCCGTGATGCGCAGCGTGGACCATGACATAGCGGCAATTCAAATACGCGCGGGGGTAATGGAACCATGGAACAAGCAAGTTCAGGTAACTCCTTCGACAAGCCCCACTCTCATTCAACGGGGAGAGAGTAAATACTTGCTTCATTGGCGGTTTGCTTTGGTTCCATTTTTATATTCGCTCAGTTCGGTATCCACAATTTCATTGACCCGTCAATTTGATCGGGGTTGTTGCTTCAGGGCCACGGACGAAACGGACTGGATTATGTTCATTCAAAGCTTACACCCTAAATTTTCATGCAATAACCCTGCTATACAGTTAAGGAATCCTTCGCGGAAAATTCTTGCATTCTTTCTTGACATGAATGTGTCAGTTGTGATCACTGGAAACAGCACACAAAGTTTCACGCATGAAGATTCGGTTTCCGAAGAGAAACAAACGTACAAAAACTACACTCTATGGACAATCGAAGGTAATTCGGGCGGAGCCAAAGGCGAGGCATGGAAAGAAGTTGGCCTTTGGCCGGCTACGTATCAGGCGACGCAATGAAAGAATCGGGTTAAAGCGCGCGATTTCGGAGAGTAGAGACAAATCGATCGATAGAATAGGATGGAGTAGAAAGTTTAACTGGTCAAGCTATAAATTGGTCAAGGGGACTTGCTTCACATATTAAAATTCAACATTAATTTGAAACAGATTAATCAAGATGAACTACATTACATAACGTAGAACAGTTTTCTGCTAATTACTGCAATATTTCTCAAGCTCGACAGTAGACAGCATTTTTGAAATAAAAACTTGATCAAAGACGATTAGCTAAAGTGAACTGATTTTGACAGGCAGTGCAAAAAGTGCAGGAATGTTAAAAACGCTATCAGATAATTGGTTTCTCCATCGCCGGAACCCGTCACCTTCGTTTGCAAAACAAACACGTTGATAAGAAATCAAATCAGAAATACACATTTGAAATCATTTGAATCTTTCTAAAGCAGGGCTACGTCCTTGAAAACGTTGCTGAAATTTCCTTTTATATTTGTATTACTTTCTAGTATCTGAAAAATCCTTCCCCGGAAAATCCTTGCATTCTTTCTCAACATGAATGTGTCAGTTGTGATCACTAGAACAGCACACAAAGTTTCACGCATGAAGATTCGGTTTCTGAAGAGAAACAAACTCACGAAAATCACTCTCTGTGGATGGTCGAAGGTAGGCCACGCGGCGCGGTATGGCCTACCTTCAACCGTCCACAGAGAGTGATGGGGAAAAGCGCGTCTTGGGCGGCCACGTATCAGGCTACCCATTGAGAGAATAGGATCAAAGCGTTCGATTTTGGAGAACAGAGACAATGATCGATAGAATAGGATGCAGTAGAAGTGTGAGATGTAGTGCAATAAGTCAAAAGGCCAAAAAGAGTTTCTAGTGACAGCACTCCGTGAACCAAGTGGAAGCGTTCCCGCCGCCAGCATTTGTGACAGATGTCCGGCGGGAATTTGAACGCGTAGCAGTCCTTCCGATTTTTCGAATTGTTCCAAAACAAATGCAATTTTTTGTTCTTTTCGTTCCTTATCGTGGACGATGGTCTCAAGCCAGTGACTTATGTTTGAGGCAGAATAATTATTTTTCCGGGGAGGATTCCTTTAATAGAAATATTACGTATAAAGATGCGATATGACTGAATGATTTGCGGAAGCGGCCAATGTATAAATCTTTTTGCCCTCCAGACGAGTTTTGTGACATTTAACCAAGCGCGTGTTGGAAGGCTCAATTAACCTAGGCGAGTTTCTACATGAATGAGATCCCGGAGCATGTACATAGCGTGCAGTATCTTTTGCCTTCATCTCAGTTCAAAGGGAACAAAAAATCAAGAACAGAAGGTCAATCATCGAATATTGACCAGCTCAGCTTTGAAATTAGAAACGGATCAAAGTGTGGAATATTTCGACTAATAGGTTGAACTGGAGGATGAAGCCTGTATCAGCAGTCTTATTATAGATGTCACCACCTGGGCGGGCGTTACCATGACATTACGTATAACAGATCCTATCTGACACTCGAGGCCAAATTCATCGAGGAAAAAGGTAGCACTGAAAGACTTCGAGTTCCCAAAAAATTGCCTTTGTAAGGATTTAGAAGGCAATCTTAAATAAAAGGAGCATATCCGTCCCACATGAGCATCGTGTGGAAGGGCGTGAACACCCTTGGAAGACCTTGCCCGTTTTTTCGGATATTTGCTTATTCCGCTTCTGATAGATCAGGATAATATGCAGGAGATGGAGAGTGTTTAGGAAGAAGAACTCGAAAGCACTTCAAAGGCAAGCCTCAGGATAAAATTGCTGTTCAAGAGTGCTCACTATGGAAAGGTGAAGGTGCACAGGGACGAAAACAAAAGAGAAAGCGAAAGAAGCCATCGAAATTGCTACACGATAAGTGGCTATAGCGGCCACCTCTTGATAACTACCGGCAATGGCCTTCAATCAGGGAATTTGGGCCCCTGGCGCCCTTGCCACAATCTTTTAGGCTGTGTTAATGGCGCATCGATGACTTTCGCAACCAGCTCTATTTGACTTGCCAACGGGGTAACCACATGGCCTTGTCCCGGGACTTACCTTCGATCCCGAAGACTCCCGCAGGAGTCGTAAGAGCTGATATAACACCCTATTCGATGGAGAAAAACGGGCGGTGTTCATCCATTCGAAAATGGCTCCAATTCAGAAAAATGAGAGAAGAAGCTCAAAGAGGGTTGCAGCCATGAGCCTGAAGGGCGGAAAGGAGGGGGGTCGCCTCCACGTTCACGAAATGCAGCGATGCGGCTGAGCGATTCCTATAATCGCCGTTGTATTGAGCTTATGGGATGACCGTTAGCCTCCTGAAGAATCTCCCTAATGTCCGCACGCCAAGTTTGAACGAGCTTCATAAGTGTAAGCCCGACGATACGGTGAACACCCCAAAAAAGGACAACGGCAGGGTCGGGAAGGGAGAGGAACGATGGAACAAATTGCTGTGAGAAGACAATAGAGTGGTTCCCACACACATTTGCCCTTACAGTACATATTACAAGTATTGAATTTGTGAGTGCTGTCTAGAAGAGGTAACAGCAAGTACAGGAACAGCAAGTGTGGTGGACAAAATCGCAACACTGTGAGCTCGCCAAAAACCGGTCCAATTCAGGAGGAGATCGTCTTTTCAAGGAAAAGGACCGTATCGGACGTTCTCAAGACTTCCGTGTACGGCCATCTTGTCACGCAATCGACGCCGAAGATGGATGGTTATGTGGAAAAGCGAGAGTTTTGTAGAGACAAGAATGTTTTCATTCGGAATCAGAAAAGAACAATGTCTATATTCCGGTGCAAATGAAGGGTAAAAAAAAACCAGAGCTATCCAATTTAGGTACTTAAGAAGACCGGGAAAGTGGAAAATATTCCACGCCCCAGAGTTTCTCCCCCGTCCATGAGTGATGTTAATGTTTCCGTTCACACACGGTTAATCGAAAAGGAAATCGAAAAGTACCAAGGGGTGGGTTAACCCTGGTTTTCAGTCCTGACTACAGGAATAGCAAAAGATCTGCACCACACCTACCATGCAGCCACAAACAAGCTCCACATTGCGATTTATTCGAACGAGTCTTCCGGCTGTTTGCGTGTACGGTTGCACAGGGCGGCTAGTTCGGGTATACAGCATTCCAACGTATGCAACCGCACGCCACCGTGATTTGGCAGGCCACCTCCAAACGCTTGCTTT